TGTGCGTGTGTGTGCCTCTGTGTGTGTGTGTGTGTGCGGCTTGTGCGTAGGCTGCGTCTTTCAATGCAACAAAATGTTGGATGCCAGCACTGGCAGCGCAGTCGACGTCGCTGCTGCGCGTGTTTCCTGTCGCTTTATGTACCAGAAAGCTTTTACATAGCAGAAGGCAGTACATGTGCGTGTGTGTGCGAGTGTGTGTGTGTGTGCTGCTGCTGCTGTATGTGTTATCAGCATGACAGCAATTACAACAAGAACGACAACAACAACTGCGACAGCATCTCAAAGCTCAAAGGCACAAATTTTGTATATTTTTTGTTTCTCTAGCTAATACATAATTACAAATACATTTAAGCCAGAAAGTTTTTTAATTGTTTTTGTTGCTGTTGCCGTTGCCGTTGCCGTAAAAAAAATCTGAAAAGCCCGAAAAGGGAAATAGAAAATGCGAAACGATTGCGCTCAAATTAGTTAAACGTGCTCCCGAGCGGGCGAAGGGGCCAACTTGCAGGCTGACATTTTGTTTTGATTGACATCTGCGAGATTGTGGAAATGTAGTGTATGGCAAAGCAAAATCAAAAGGGGAGGCGGGGCTGGCGCCATTTTACAGCTTGTGATGGGCAGGTGCTGTCAGTTGAGCAAATTCTTGAATGGATACAAGTTGCCACAGCGCACGGCAAGTTCAGCGCTCGTTGGCGTCGCATGCAAATGTCGTGAATGCGCAGTGGGACTTGGGGTGCAGGTGACGAGAGAGGGGCGTGGGGGTTGAGTAGCGAAGGGTACATAAATAAAAATGATTCTATATAACACCTACGCAATGCTGCTATGAGTCAAACGTCAATGTTGGACTGCTTAAAGCTTGCTTGAGCTAAGCTTTGATAGGTTAAACATCAAAAGGTATATATACTTATTTTTAGGATAGAAATAAATATATATTACAAATATTGCCAGAGCTCTAGAACATGTTTTTAGGATAAGATCCTTAAATGCTGAGAAAATCGTGACTTTATAAGGTTTGGAATCTTAGGCATGTCAAAGAGGAAGTTAAAAATACAAGTACACACACGATCATGATTTATTGATTTGGTTTTATACAAAATGATTTACAATACATGCAATATATTCAAATCGAATTGAAAAGTTGTCCCATAATACAAACTACCTTAAAACGAAATTAAGAGCATTTAAGCTCTCAATTTATATAAGAAACGCGTTGAATCACATTTCCAACATGAAAAAACCACATCAAAAGTATTTTGAGTACTAAAAACTAAAGAAATTCGACCTAAATCGATTCGACTGGGTAACTATTATCATAAGACAACTTATAGATATGCTTGCTAAACCGTTTTTGTTTTTAGAAATTCTTGCAGCTACACTGAACTTTTTCATGTCGTTTCAAAAGCCCATTAATGCCAAAATTAATTTCGCTTCCTGCTTTGCTATCTAAAGTATATTTGAGGGAGGCGCATTCGGCTGGCTTAAGGTTGCCAATTAAGTGTAAAGGAAGCAACTAAAGACCGCATACGACATTTGGCACGCACTTTATTAGGAAACCAAAACGCAGCACAGAAGGGGCAAACCTCAAAAGCCAGAACTTTTCCTAGGAAAATGCCAGCTCGTTGCTTTCACTTTAAACTAAAGCACACACACGCACAACTCATTGCTATGCATCGCAGATACCCAGACCCGCTGCGACCCACATAAGCAGGCAAATAGAAGAGAAAAAAAAAAGCAAAAGCGAAGCAGCAGGAAAAAGCTAAAAGGCAATGAAAATTTTCCTTGTGCACTGCGAAAACTACGCAATTTAGAAAAGCAGCCAACGACCAACAACAACAACAACCATTCGGCTGGCTATATACCCTAGTATATACGCACACGCACCACCCCAACAACAACAACAGCAATCAACGTCACTCACAAAGCCGCTCCTGCCCCGCCTAACACCCCCCGCCACCAGACCAACGCTCGCTGCACACGCACAAAAAGCGCCAAAAAATTACAAACGCAGCGGTCGGTCGTTTGAGCGGCTTCTGTCGCTGAAGCCAAAGTGGTTTCTGGGTGGTTTTTGGCTCAATAAAGGACTGCAGCCACCGCAGCAGCAGCAGCAGCAGCAGAGGCCGGCTCCCCAACGCCGCCCAACTGCCCCCAGCGCGGCATATATACCCCACACGCACATATAGGCGCACACGCACATCTGCTATGTACTGCGAGGCAGCTGCAGCCACCCAACAAGGCCCGTTCGCCCCCCCTCCCTACCGACCAAACCCATGTCAAAGTCAAGCCACCACCAAACAAAAAAAAAGAGCCAAGAGAAGAAGCAGAAGTAAATGAAAATGTACGCCCTGCATTTTTTTTATTCAGTCGTTGCGAGGCCCGAGCAGTCGCCCATTTCGGTTTTCTTGAACGTCCTTGATCCTTGCAACGCACAGCAACAACAATGGAAGGGCGCCTGCTGGTCGTCTTCCCAAAACACAAAAACACACACACACACACACAGACACACACACACACAAAAGCAGGCACACAAAGAGCATTGCGGGCGCATGTAAAAAGCATAGCATACTTTTTGGGGCAGCCGCCCCGACGCAACGCCGCCTGCCTGACGCCTTATCAGTTGTAAAAACAAAACCGGAAGCTCACACACACAGACAGGAAGTCGCAGCGTGTGCGACAGAGTGGGTGAGCGAGAGCGAGAGTGGGACAGCGCGAGACAGAAAGAGTAGGAGAGAGAAAGAGAGGGGGCGAGAGAGAGCGCGACGCGTCGTCGAACTTTCAGGGTTTTTGTGTGTGTGAAAAGTGAAAGTGAAAAGCTGTGAAGGCAAAGGACAAGGCAAAGAAAGTGAAAGCGCAGCGAGCACGCAAACGCAGAGAGCGCCACACAAGAGAGCAAGCCGCTCTCACAGAACGAGAGAGAGAGAGAGAGAGAGCGCGTGCCAGAGCGAGAGCGAACGAGCCTGCGAGCGAGTGTGAGCGAGCGCGAGTCGCTGTGTCCTTTGCTGCAGTCGCGCGTCTCAAGAAAACCGCTTCGAATAGCTTGAATGCCTCCATTTTAATGGCCGCAATGTCCTTGGCCAAGCAACGTGCCGAAGGATATTTGGTAAACGCACGACGTCAGCGGCGACGTCGACTGCGACGTCAACTGCGACGCGTCAGCTTCGTTTCACGGCGCTTGCATTTACTTTCACTTTCGGCCTGGCCGCGAACTTGGCAAACAACCCCAGCACTCAGACCCCGGCACGCACACACCCACACACACACACACCCTAGCAACTGGCCCAGCCTGCGCCCCCCTTTGCACGCTTGCATATAATGTACTTTTTTTCGGCAAGCAAACAAAACTTTTACCCCAAGAGCTTTCTGCATTTTTTTTTTACCAGCTTTGGCGCAAGTTTATTTTTGACAGTGTTTTATGCCCTGCGGACAGGACACTGCAGCAGCAGCAGCAGCAGCGGCAATTGCTGGGGGTTGGGCTGTGCTGTGCTGTTGTGGTTGTGCGTGGGGCCCGAAATGACAAAATAATGTAATTTGGCATTAGATTTATGCGTGCTGCGCCTCCTTTGGTGCGTGTCCTGCAACAAGGACCTCAGCAAAAAACGCAGCGTCGACGTTTCCTTTTGCCTTTCACACATTTTCAACCTCTGCTGCTGCTGCTTCCGCCTTCCCTCCCCCTCCCCCCTTTTGGCTCCACCTGCGCCTTATGCTTGTTGTTGTTGTTCTTCCTCTTATTTGCCACGCTTTGTGTCCTGTTTTTTTTCTTGGCAGCGCCTTTGTTGTTGTTTTAAGCCGCTTGTGCGAATTTAGGGCAGGTTTCATTGACGCTTTTTTCGCCAGCTTCTTCTTCTATTTGCTTGTTTTTATTTTATTTTTCTTAGCTTCTGGCTAAGTTTCCTTCCTTTCAATATGTACATATAGTATATGTGTTTTAGCTTTAAAAAAAAAAGAAAAACTTTCGAATTTCTAGCTTGAATGTTGCCACAAATTGAAAAATGTCAACAAAGTTCAGAGTGCGAGTTGGGGAAAGTAGATCTATTTTTCGCCATCGAATTTTCCTTTCAAGTTGATGATTAAAGAAAACTTGAACATAACATTAATAGATAATAAATAAATAAAAATATAAAATGAAGTTCTACTTGGCTAAAGCATGAAAACCAATGATAATAAAATATAATAAATATATATATATTTCTTTTAGCAAAATAGTTCTGATGTCTTCTAAATCTCCTAGCGTTTTCACGATAGTTCGGGCTCATATCTTTAATATAAATTAATCTATTAAGAAACAGAAGTGCAGTCTTTGAAGAAGGCGATATTCTTTGCAGGCTTCATGGCTTTTGCGCTTAATAGTTCAACGTATTTTTAAAGATATAAGCCCGAAGTGTTGTGACTAATGTAAGTAATAATTTATGTATTGATTGTTCGATCAAAAAAGCTCATAAAGCTTATCAATATAGGCAACTTTTAAAAATTTACAGAACTGAAGAAGCGTGAACTAAAGATATGTTTAAGGTTTTTTTTTAATATATTAAAAACCAGTTTTGTTGTCTCTCTTTTATAATACCCAAGATATGATATATGAAATACTTAAGCGACTTATCGATATTTATCGATTTCTAAATTAATCTTATACAGCCTCTGTCAATAAATATTTAAAGTCTCTAGTTCTGCAGAGCAGGCCAGATGAACACATGCGCAAATTTTTTAAGCATTTTTGATCAATAATAAATACTTTGTGGAGTCAGATATGTCTCCTAATACATTATCACAAAATTCTTGAATAAATTTTAATCATTTTTGATGGGGCGTTTTATGCCCCGTTCAGGTGTTAAAATCTGACAACTAATTTACGACTAGTTCACAAGCACTTCACAGTCATAGCTCGAGAACTATGAAGACTATGCAGCAGCAATTGTGCGAGTCTGAGGCTAGCCTATCGACATATTGCCGCACCAAAACAATCCCAGCAAACCATGTGCAATTAGTCAGACACAGTAGGCATTAGGTAGAAGACATTCCTACTCATAGGAGAACATCTAATAGAATTTAAGGAAGTTTTCATTTTAAATTAAATTTTTTTGTTTGCCTTAAAAAATGAGCAAAGAATCGAAAACGTGGATACTGAAAGTGGCGGCAATCGTTGCCGTGTCGAGTCTTTTAACGCTCTTTGTGATTGTGGCTTCTAATTCGATTGCTTTCTACTCGCCGGCAGATGGCGTTGTGGAGCTGACTGCCTCGGACTTTGAGAGCATGGTGCTGCAGGACGACGCCATATGGATTGTACAATTTTATGCGCCCTGGTGCAGCCACTGCCAGGCCATGCTGCCCGAGTACAAGCAGCTGGCCAAGGCGCTGAAGGGCGTTATTAAGCTGGGCGCGGTCAATTCCGAGCTGCACACGGAGTTGATCGCCAAATATGAAATACGCGGCTTTCCGCTTATGAAAATTTTCGGAGTTGACAAACAAAAGCCTACCGATTTCTTTGGGCCGCGCACAGCGAAAGCCATGGCCGACGTGGCTGTGGCTGAGGTCAACAAGAAGATAAAGGCGGCCTTTGGCGAGAGCCTGGATGTGGCCACAGACGCGGCCAGCAACAGACTTTGCTCGGAGAGCGACGTCACGGAGCTGCGGGCTGATAATTTTGATAGGCTGGTGCTCAATTCGGCTGACACATGGCTGGTGGAGTTCTATACGCCCTGGTGTCCGCACTGCAAGAATCTGGCAGGCACCTGGATAGCGGCGGCCAAGGAACTCAAGGGCAAGATCAAGCTGGGCGCCCTGGACGCCAGCGCGTACAAGCACAAGGCGGCCGAGCACAATGTGCGTAGCTATCCCACCATCAAATACTTTCCGGTCCAGTCGAAGCAGCCCGCCGACGCAGTCAAGTACACTGGCCAGCGCACTGCGGAGAGCATCATCAGCTGGGCCAATAGCAAGTCGGCGGCGCCTGCACCTAACGTGGCCGAGATCACGGACGAGACGAGTTTGTTCAATGCCTGCGGCCATAAGTCCTGGTGCGTCATCTCCGTGCTGCCCACGCTGCTCGACTGCAATGCCAAGTGCCGCAACAAATTGCTTGGCACCTTGCGCAAACTGTGCGCCAAGTATCCGGCGCAGCAGGGATGGGGCTGGGTGTGGACCGAGGGCGGCCAGCAGCCAGCCCTGGAGAGGGGTCTGCGTGTGGGCGGCTTTGGCTATCCGGCTCTGGTGGTGGTCAATTGCCGCAGAATGCGATATGCCGTCTTCAAGGGCTCATTCTCGGAAGCTGCACTTAATGAATTTCTGGGCGATATTGTCCAGGGGCGTGGCAGAACTTCAACTGTCAACTGCGCCCAAAAGCCGCCCGTTCGCAGTGTCATACCCTGGGACGGCCAGGATGCCGACGCACAGCTCCACAACGTGGCAGAGGGCGAGCGTTCAATCACGGACGAACTCTAAATATTTTTTTTTTGTTTGCCATTCATTTTTTGTTGCTCAGATAATGAAATAATGAAATAGAATTGAGGACAGAACAGATTCAGTTAGATGTAGATGTCCAAAACTCAGCTTGAACTCTTAATTTCTGGCATATTTTGTCCAAATTATGAAATAAATTTCATGTTTCGAAGATTTAATACCCTTTCAGACATTTCCCTTTTGCTGATTTGTGAGAATAGGGAAGCATTACGGCTTTTGTAAGAATAGTGAATATATCTTGAAAACATAACATTCTGACATACAAAATATTATTTTTTAACCGATTATTCGTATAGAAATACATATATAATATAGTAGTGCGATCCTGATAAGATTTGGCTCATGTATAAGCAGCATAGTTTAACTAGGAATTACGAGGTTCATCACGATATCTTTATAAAAAAAAACAATTTTTCCATACAAGAACCTACTTTTCGACCTATCGTTCCAATAGACTATATCATATAGTGGTCGGGTCCAAGCGGTTCCGACATATATATTCTACTACAGAAAGACGGAACAGTGAAAATTTTCAAGACGAAAGATGAGAGACGATTCTTATAGCAATAGACAGGCGGACACTTTTGAGTCCAGAATATATATATATATATATATATATAATTAATAGGGTCGTAGCAGCCTTTTTCTATGACAAAATTATAATACCCTATTCAAGGGTATACAAGAAAAATATTTAGGGTATATAAAGGGTATTCTTCATGCTAAAGACAGATTAAGGGCAAAGCGTATTGCTTAAAGTCTTTAATATAAGTTAAGTAAATATAGAAATAAATATAAATATTTTAACTAATAAAATACAGATCTGAGAAATGCTTCCACAAATTACGATTTATTCCCAGAAATTCTGTTCATAATTTTTCCTAGCTGTCGAATCTATCTTCGGGCGCATTAAAAACATGTTTATAAAATGTGAGGGCAACATTAAGGCGTCGCCCACGAGTCCTTTGGGCAGTTCCTTTGAAAACAAACAAACGAACGCCCGCTGCTCGTTGACCATTGACCAATTGTCATGGTCACCTAATCCTGGCTGACAAAATGGCTCAGCCAAAGGGCCAGCGAGCAGACGTCGACAGGACAAGTCCTCGGCCAGGCAACAAAGCGCCCAGCTAAGCATGTGCCAACAACAAGGCAACACACACATACACCTAAGCATATATAGAAATATATATACAAATATACAAATATATATATATGTGTATATATGTATATATATTTATCAAAAATATAGACCCAAGTCGAAGCGTGGCCCATGGCATAATATCTTTAAATGCAAACCGAGATGAGCACAAAATGACTGCCAGCTGTGCTACATTTGTCGGCGGCTCCTGGGACCCTAGCAGCAACTTAAAGGCTGCACATGCCACAAGCTTTGCCCGGCCCGCTCTGCCACACTTCAGCCACACACCCCCTTTCACCACACAGCAGGCGATGCACAGAACGAGCTGCTTATTCATTTAATTTTCAGAGAAGCCGCCCAAGGAGTAAATGGGTTTTGCATGGCAAGGTAGTCCACGCAGAGGCGTTGCGTGCAAGGGGGTTGAGAGGGGGCCAGAGTGGGGTTGCGCTGTGCATGGGCGTCAGCGTCGACTGGCAGTCAGTCAAGCAGTCAGTCAGTCAGTTAGGAGGCCTTCACTCAGCTCAGCTCAGCTCGGCTCGGCGGAAACTTTTGGCTGCCACGCACAATTTTCCACTTTCAACTTTCGTCAAAGGGGGCGGCGCGGGGCGGTTGTTGTTGCTGTTGCTGCTGCTGCTGCAGGGCGGTGGTTGGTGGTGCGGTTGGGTGTGCGTATTGAGCTTTATGCTTGGCTGATGTTGCGATAAGCGGCTGAAGCAGGCAATGTTGCTGTCGTCGTTGTCGTCGTCGATGTTGTTGCTGTTGTTGTTGTTGCTGTTGTTGCCACAGCCGCAGCCGCAATGCTGCACACGCCACACTCTCACACAAGCACATACACACACACACAAAAGTGGAGCTGAAGCAGCAAAGCAGCCCCTGGCGCTTGCCATAAGTGGGCGGGGAGTTGAAAAATAGGCAGCAAAAGCAGTTGCTGTCATTTGTTGTTGCTGTTGTTGTTGTTGCTGTTGTAGTTGGCGCCATTGCCCAATGTAAAAGTTGCTGAAAAGTGTAACGCAGTTAGCGCCAGCAGACGGGCAGGGGGGCGGACAATGCTGCCTGGTGGCTGGCAGCTAGTGTTGGGCAAAAAGGAAGCCTGGTGCCTGACTCTGCTGCTGCCTATGTCGCCTACGCGGCATAGTTTTAACTTGGCTGTTGTAATACACTTTCTAACACTGGCAGCGTTAGCTATTGGGCAAGTTTAAGCCTTCAAAAAACTGAAATTTGTAGGCAATTGTGAAGCAGCAAGATTGCAGAATGCAGCTACCAAGCAGCTCCTTTGTTATGGCTTGTTTTTAAAGCAAGTATGTGTGGGAAGGTTTGTACTTGGATAAATAATTGCAGGTTTTTAAACTAAGAGCAATTGTTGGCCAGATTCACTGATCTTGCTTAAGTTGCTTTCTATTAAATTATATATATTTCTGAGTGGCTGGACTTAGATAGACTATCTTAAAGCCTATTAAGCAAGCCCTGCAATGCCAGTTAAGCAGCTTTAGTTTGTTTAATAAACAATAATGACTAAGAATTATATAAAGATAAACATAAAATATCAATAGACTCAACCGCACAGCGAATAAAAGCGGACCACTTAACCCAGTAAATTGTCTCAGTGAAAAATTAGGATACTGGTTCAAATCTTTTAAAATATATCTTCACATTTCTACAAGAAATGCCCAAACCAGGCTACTATAAAATCGTATGACTGATTTAAGAATCGTATTTAAAATCGTAATCAAAGTAATTTTCAGGAATTTTTGCCGAGCTTCCATGTTATTAAAGTAGTATTCTAATTATTTGGTTTTCCAACATATATTTTATATATACTCTTTTTTAAAGGGATTTTTTTTTTTTCTGCTTAATATTTTGACACATGTGAAACATATTGTCGTTTTTTAAGCAGCTATTAAAAGTAAGCTAATGTTAGGCTTTTTAACTATTAATTGGATTTTTGTTCTTTTCATATAAAAAACCAGTGAGAGTATTTTTGCTTCGTTGCAGTTGATATGAATTTCTTTTGCATTTGTTGTTTTGCCCAAAAATTCACGCACTTTTTGTGCGTATCTATGTGAATGTTATAGAGTGTACGTGTGTGTGTGTTGGTGTGTCAGTGTGTGTAAGTGTCGTGGTAAGTACATAGAGGCGCCGTTATGTGCGCAGATTGCCCCGCTGCCAGGCGGGAAATGGAAACGGACGCAGCAAGTAGAGGGTAGCCGGGCGCCGGGCGGCATTTCGCCTTTCACTTTCGCAACGCCACCTAGCGACGAGCGCTGGGGAAGTGGCCGGTGGTGGGGTGTGTGGTAGTTCGTAAAGGGGAGCTGGCGGCGTGGGAGGCAAAAACTTTCGACATCAAAAAGAACTACTTTCGATAATCACAGGCCTGGCGCCAAAGGAATTACTTTAGCCGGCTGCGCGTTGCCGCTTTTTTACAGCTTTATTTTTTGTTTTTAGGGTTTTCTTTTTTATTCCAGTTTCGGATTTGCTTTAAAGTTTGGCGAGCATTTTCCCCGTTGCCTACATTTATGCGAATTTTTTATTTTATTTTTTTTGTGTGTTAACTTTCTCATTTTTATGCATTTTTTTATTGTCATTTTATGCGTTTATTGTTTTGTGGTTGCGCGCGATGAGGTCAGCAAACAGAGCGAAAATAAACAATTTGCACATTTTCTTGCAATGTTTGAAATTATTAATTAAGTGAAATAAAATTTTCAAACTCAATGCATGCTTAAGCAATTATTAAAATTTTTCGTAGAGAACTTTAAAGTCATCAATGACATCATGAGGCTTAGGAGGAAAATGCAATCGGAAAAACAATGCTGTGGTGGTGGATTTTTGGGGTTGCACAACCGGTTTTCTATGAAAACCCTTTTCTTTTGGCGAAAGCTAAATCGTTGCAGTAACTAATTTAAGAGAGAAATGTTTTCATTAAAGGGGTGGCTTACCTTGATGCGCAGCCACACAGCGGGTGGGGGATAGATTGAGGATTATTAGCTGGGAAATAAGCATGCAGTTTCATCTAGGTGGAAACTGTTAAGGAATATAAATGCAGAATGGGGTTTGTTTTTAGGTTTGTATTGTTCTTAGATGTTAATCCACAAGAGCAGAGATTAGGGTACATAGAATGTGAATATTATTATTGAATGCCCAGCGATTACAATGGTTAACAATAATATTGAATTGAGTATAAAACTTTTAGAACATTATAATTCTCCCCAAGCAATTCAAATTTTGCGGGCACCTAATTTCGCGTGTCAAAATAAACGCGCAGCCAACTTTAAGGGAGTCAAACTTTGTGCACAGCCAACATCACACAGCAACGTACATATTTAACGTCACCTTTACGCAGTTTGCGTTACGTTGCGCATATTGCGTTAACGTCACATGTTCGTAATGCCAGAACAGACAGAAATTCAAATGCATAGTATTTTTTTAAGTTTAAAGAAATATTTCTTTTTTACGAGCACAATAGAAATTTTACAAGCATTCAAATATATATTTGTAATGTTTGTAAATAAACAATTCTGAAGGTATATTCTTTGAAAGAATTAAAATGCTATTCATTTAAATTTTTGGTGTTTTTGCGTTTGCAGCGCGCGGTCACTCTGGTTTTCACAGCAACAGCAAAGTAGACGGACGACGTTGGTCTCGTCAACGAGATTTTCGATACAAAAACAAATAGAATTAACAAGAAGCCCAAATCCACAAGATGATGAAAGCCGCGTCCTGTGCCTATGTGCGCGCCAGCGCCCAGGCACTGTCCAGCAGCCTACGGGCCAGCGGAGCCGCCGTTGGTAAGGAAAACAAGTGATCGCAGAAGCTGCAGTTATATAATGTGGCCCAGCGCCAGAGATTTGTGTGCAAAGCAGCCCAAACATTTAATCAAATACGATTTTCGCAATGTTTTCAATGGCCAAAAGGCCAAAGTTGCGAATTTCCTTACGTAATTTCAACATAACCTCGCCCCTTGTCAGTTGGCCAAGTGAAAACAGCTGATCAACGAATGAGTGTGTGGAGCAGAAACACAAAAATTTGCCTGCGGCCTCTGCTCTTTAGTGAATCCTACTCTAATCTATCTCCCTTGCAGCCACGCGCCAGGCACACACGGATCTG